AGGCTACTCCTGTTGACAGAAGGTGATTCTCTAGCCAAAGGTGTGCAAATCTCCGTGCAAGACTATTTTTTTCTTTTACAGAAAACTGCTTTCTCACCAAGAAACAACTTCCCCTTAGGTTCTGTCTTTAAGCGTGTTTATTCTGCAGTGAGTGCAGCTCAGGCAGAGGCATGGAGCCAGCCTTCAACAGCCTGGATCAGGCCCTTACAGCACTTGTGTGGAGAATAATGAGGGGGTAAGTGTCAACCAACTGGCAAGTCCTGGGTTGGGCAACCTCCACTGAGCTCTGCGACAAGCTCTCTGCAACACGGCTGTTGGTGATGTGGTGTAGTTTGAGTCCGTGCGAGTTGCAATCACTGCAAGGTAGATGAATCCTTCAAATCTCCTGTCTAGCTCTCGGCTCCTTTTATCTATTTCAGCCCTAGGCTTGTAACTTTGGGAAGTCTTTAGTGCAAATTGCTTATCTGTGATGATATGGGCCCCAAAGATGAGTCAAATGTTAAGCATAAACACCTTGTGAAGCAGTTCTATCCATCAGAAAAGCCACAGCTGTCCACAAGGTGCATCATCCACCTGCTCTGACTGATAATTACATAACAGGATAGTTTCTTTGGAATGCTGTTGTATTTATCACTCATAATGCAGACCATATTACCACTTTCTACCATAAAAGTAATTGCCTTGCACTCTCAATTTCTTTTGGAAACTTCTCATTTGGCCTTTTCACCCTTCGGCCAGAACTTCAATTTTATGTCATTAAGACATTACAGTTCAAAATGCTAAATTATGTCATTACACAACATATCAAGGTTTATGGCTAATGTTGACATCTCACTCAAAATGGTGTTGATGAAACTTAAAGCTAAGATGAATTCTATTTTTGTCATCACCCTGCATGCCATTGGTTTAATAACATACAGGCCTTTAAGTCATTACCATTAGTTCCTATAAATTAAAGAAAACCATGTAATACTGTTCTCTCCCCTCCTTTTGCTAATGGCATAAACATAATGTGAAAGTCTTTTCAAAAAAGCAAGATAAACTTGTGTTATATTTCTCAGACATGAACCCTGCATGGTAGTTTAGTCTCACACCTAAGTAAATAAGAAATGAGTAAGCACTATTTTTATCATGTAGTGAAAAAGGAAACTCTCCTTTATGGCAAAGATACGGCCATCTTCTGCTGTGAATGCTTTTAACAGTCAAATTCCTTACTTAGGAGCATTCATTAACCTATGTAAATATACAGAACTGTAGCCATCAAAAGCACAGAGCAGGTGGACAATTCAGCACAGTAAGTCTACAGAGAAGTACAGCTTGCTCTTTTTCTGTCATCTTCTCACCTTTTTACCATCCTGTTGCGTTTCATATGCTTTCAACTGTTTCCTTGTCACCAGTGCTCAGAAACAGCTGCGGTGCCAGGTACTCGTGCGGCCACCACAGGCTCTCATTAATGAGCCTCGGGGAGCTGATCTGCAATGAAGCCTCCATACAGAACTATTACCTGATTAAGAAAACAGCTGCCCAGTTGCCTGATCATTGCCTAATCATTTCTTGTTCTTGAAGGTTTCGCCATATAAATAAACACTGTTGTGACTCTTATACTTAATTTATTGTCTCTTCCCATCTGCTGAGCCTCTGCATAATGATATCTACAAGCATGGGATAAAGCCCCAGCAGCAGAGGAAGAGCTGACAGGGCAAGCGGAGGTTCCTCTCAGGTACAATGTTGGTTGCTCCCCAGGTGCATTCTCCCAAAAAGCCATGACGGAGCCACTACTGTCCTTTAAGGGGACACTTTGCTTATCACAGGATGTTCAGGCCTGTGACCAGAGGACATCACTACCACCAAGGGGAAGGAGTCCCTGGCGTCCCACTCAATGGACAGCACTGACCATCCAGCCGCATTTTTTGCTCCTTGGAAGACAGCAGCAGCACAGGGACTTCTCCTTGAGAAAGGGATGCTTCTCATCCATACCTGCTAATATAGAAGCAGGAGCCAGCACAAGCCTGGAGGCAGACCTCATGTAGATGAGGAGGGGGAAGAAGGGATAGGGGGGGTGTTTAATATTCATGGCTACTTGTTATGAGGGCTTTGAATTCGCATTGTAAGAGTAGCTTGGGAGGCTGAGGGCGGAATTGCTTATATCCTTAGTCTTATCTTCTTGTCTATATGGGAAGCATGCTAGTGATATTTGCGTAGTTCAATATTTTTGCATCCTGACCATTTCCAAGAGATGCATGGATATTCTGCACGTGGACTAATGCTGACAAGTAGTGCTCCAGTATCTCTTAACCTGAAAGGGGACAAGGGGATGTAGTTTATGGGGTTAAGTGTCAAAGCCCTCATGCATGTGCAGTGTGTGCCAGGGGTACAGACAGAAGGTTGCTGGGTGCTAACTCAAGGACAAGTGTTGGCCCTAATATTCTACCAGTTTCTTCATCATTATGGTGTAAGTAATCAACACCTCCTCTAACCACAGACCACTGCCCCAAACCAGTTACCTGAGCATGCAGCCGTTGACTGCCAGGATTACAAAATCTACCTCACAATCCTGGCCATAGGAACCCAAAATCTTCCTTCTAAACACCGTTAAATGACTTCTACCTGCGAAAATGCAGGAGTACTACCTACACAACCCAGTGCCTGTTTCAGAGTGCAGCCTTTTCGGCAGAAACCTCTCCTTGGTCTGTGGGGACCATGCCCCAGGGCCCTGCTCCATCAGCACAGTGTTGGGGACAGCAAGTTGCAGCTCGTCTTGCATAGAGATCAGAGACCACTGGAGGGAATTAAGTGCTCATGCCTTGTTGTCACAGTAGGATATTTGCTCACTAGGATGCAAGCAGGCTTTTCTGGCATCCAAAAGGCTGGAAGAAGGACTGACCTCTGGCCAGCAAAGTGGAGAGCTGGCGCTTTGCTGGCACTGCTACCTGCCACGTCCCCACCACTGATGGGGGTTGTGGTGCCCACCCATGCCCCCACCGTGTTCTCCTGGGATTCCTCCATGGTTGCAGCTCTGCCTGGCAGCAACACATGCAGGTGGGGAAATGCCAGGGAGCTGCAGGGGGATTTAGACTTGCCCTGTTGTTGCTTAGCAGAAGCTTTTTGTGATGAGGGGGAGAAGATGTCCTTTTTAGAAGACAAGTTGCCTTTTTACCTTTTCATTTGAAAGACAGTTTAAAAAGTGGTGACCGTTAGGCTTGATTGTGAAGGGCAAAGTGGGGTGGGTCCCTTTTTGCTGAGTTCTGGTTTGCTTTGAAGCTAGTTGTGTGGTACATTTCTGTGTTTAATCCAAGGAAAAAGAGCTGCTGAATAATTTTGTCCGACATACTGAGGGCCAAATGTTCTGGCAGGAGCTTGTGCCAGCCACCTGAGAGGTGATGAGGCTCCAGAAGCTGTTTTTTGCTCACAAGGTGCCAAAACAGATGAGCTGCTTTGATACAAGTAGTTGTTGGGTTCATGAGCTCTGTATGGTACGGACAAATCAGACACAGTGCTGATGCCAAAAGCACTTGTGACATAGCTGTGAATGCCCTTCTGATAAGTATTTTAATGTTCAAATGCAGATGAATATTATCCTTACAGAAAAAAGGCCACAGGGACAGTCATTGAAACTGATGTCCTCCGTTTACCTGCAGAAGAGATGTACACATGCAATTGCAAGCAACATACACTTCCTTAACCCATGACATTAGTAGGCTCTAACCAGGTCTGCAATCGTATGTGAAGTTCAATCTTCAAGACCATTTATCTTTGGGCTGACTGTGCTGACTGTCTGCAATTCAGCAAGCTGGGGTCACTGTGCTGGTGCTTTCAGATATACGGATAACGGTCCTTCTGTGGCAGGACTGAGACCAGCTATTTTTGTACAACACAGGCTGCCAAACAGCTTTTGATTTCCAATCCAGTGGTGAAGGGCTCCTAATATCTTTGCTATTATTAGAAGCAACCTACAAAATTACAAAGGTGATGGATAAGCTGAATGCAGAATCCTGCACTAGAGGACACTTGGTAAAACTAGTAGGGAATCAATTTGAAACAGATAAAAGAAAGTACTTCTTTAGCAGTCAGTACTGAGCTTCAGGAACTTGCTGCCATGTGGTGCTGTAGAAGACAACAGTATCAGCAGGTTCAGAAGGGATTAGACAGATCCAGGGACAACAGGTCCATTAAGAAGACAAGGCAGGGACGTGCCCTCTGTGGTAGCTATCACATCAGATACACAGCTGTGGAAGCTGGGGGACCAGAAGGGCAAGGGGCTGCAGAAACCAGCCAGGCTTGCACACACTCACTGAACAGCATCCCTCCTCTCGCAACTGCGCGATAAACTACTGGCCTGAGCCAGTTTCACATTCTTAATCTAGAAATGTGTTTTATCGACAATCCACTGCATGAATATTCAATTACCACAGCAGCCTAGATTCCCATGAGCTGACTAATGAGCTGAAACCAACAAAGTCAAACAAGAACTAGGATTCTTCTTCATTCCTGGCTCTGATCCTTAGTCCACTGGTGCCTTGCCGTATAGGCGGTCCCATTACATAGTTCATCGCCAGCCTCCCAAGTCAACACTCCCCCCTTACTGTGTACTGTGCTAACAAATATGCCATACTACAGCCATTCATATTACAATGCAAAATCCCAAAGGAACTAAATGAACAAATTTTGCATGGAGTACAGACAAAGATGGTGAGAGTGAAACTTAAATGCTAATGAAATAATGTACAAGTGGGTAACACAAAAACATCCCATCTACAGCTCTAAAAACTGTTAAAGGCAAGTCATGTATAGTGCAGTAGTTAGGGCAATTTCGAGCTTTCTTAGATTTTGGAAGCTGGAAAACAAAACTTCCTCTGCCCCTTGCATTTCTTCTTTCCCAGCAACTTAGGAAGCAAGCCAGCATGCCAACTTTTAAGTATAAAATAAAATGAAACCAATCATTGTTTTTAAGCAATTGCCCTCGAGGCCACCCAATAATAGTGTTTCTAAAGCAGTCCTACCTTTGTTTTCCAACTTGAGCTCCTCTGCTAGCAAGCTGTCTTGTCTGTTGCCAAGCACAAATGCCAGAAATGAGAGGATCAGGGCATCCAAGATTCCAATAATTGCCAAGATATATGCCCAGCGGACTGAACAAGCCCCCAGCGTGTACTTGTCTGTCTTTTCACCACACATCCGTTTTACCTCATCTGAATCCCAGCCATCAGGAAAAATCATACAACCCAGGACGAGACAGGCAGCTTGGAGAAAAAAGAAAAGGAGAACAATGGGATAATGAGACCAAACTTTCATTTTGATGAGAACCTGCACAGTTATCATTAAAGCAACACACTTTTTCATCCTGAGCTTCAAAGCTACGTTACTTAAAAACAAGTCACAGAATTATATGCTGTGATTAAGTATTTAATGTAAAACCCTAAGATACATCAATTGCGCACCTTGATTTAAAAAAAAAAAAAGTTACATCCTGAATCCCTGGCCAGTTTTTGTACCAGTACAATCACATTTTCCTGGCGAAACCAATTTCTTCGTTGCAATATGAAAGGCTCATACAAAACAAAAGGGGAAAATTATTAATAACTTGGATATTCAAAGGAAACACCAGATTACTGTCAAATGGTCAGGCAAATAAACCACAGAAAAATAGAGGAAGAAATCTACCTATTATTTCTGGTAATCTAAGTGTTTGTAACACACACACGTAATCACAAGGGGTTTTTTTTGTCAGTTGGCAGTACCCCTTTAACTGAAATATGTTTTATGCATAAGGTTTGTACTCCTCAAAAACACAAGTAATGACATTGTTCTGCAAGGAAAAATAAGCTGTCAACATTGCTGTCAACTTCTGATCTGGTTTACCTGAGGAATCACTATATGACATCTCAAACATGAAAAAACACTGATCCTTTTAACACCAAGAGAGACGAAAAACCTCTACCCACATGGAAAGCCAGCCGATATTGACCACCAGTGGCTCTGGGTGGGGACAGCCATACTGTGGCAGGGACAGAGGCAAAGAGTGGGTGTTTGGCTGCCCATCCGTCAGCCCGTGTGACTCTTAAAAGGCTGAACTTAATTTTTAAGTAGCAGAAATTTGCTTTTACCCTTGGTTCCCATGGAAGCTGCCCTGCTGTGGGATAGCAGGTAGTGTCACGGGCCAACGTGGCTTGTGGAGCAGGCAAAATGGTGTCACAAGTTTGTTTTTTTCAGAAGTAATGTGCTCCATCACCTGAAGCAGAGTCAATCTTGCCTACTGGCCAGCAGTGGCTGTGATGTCCCCTGCCTGGACAGTGCCAGGGTGAGGGCTGAGCACACACAGCTACCTGTGCCCGGCCACCCAAGCCTTGGGTGGGACGTGTGCTCTCTTGGGCAAGGAGACCTCAAGCATGGCACCCGCTGGGTTCTGGAGCATGGTCACAGCCCTTGCCCCAGCATCCTAACAGGCCAGGTTTGGCCACAGCCTTAGCCTGGCACAGGACTTGCCGTTCAGACACATGTTCTGTGGTCACTGGGGAGCAGCCTCCTTGGAGGTTCGTTGTCCCTCTTCCCACTGGAGTGTGTGCCTTGCGGTGGAGGGTACCATGACAGGGATGCAGCACCAGGGCTTCTGCCCTTGAGAGGATACAACGTGTCCTGAGGTGGTGATACACCATTACAGAAACACACACAAAAAAGCAAACCCATACACCCAATCTTCACAAATGTGGTCTCTTCCCACTGAGTCACTACCTGAGAAAATCCACGGGCTGAGAAAACATGCCAATGTGCCAATCTCGTTGGACTGGACCAAAAGTACTTCTGCAGGGACTGTCACCAGGCACAGCTGAAGGAGCTTGGCAAAGGCATGGCTGGTACCTTGCCAGTCGCTTTTGGACAACGTCTTTTCCTGGGAAACCCCATGTGCGTTGGCCCTGCTGTGAGTGGGGTGATGGACCAGGTGGCCTCCAGAGGTCCTATTCAGCCTGAACTGATTTTTGGCAGGGAGGCATCATGTTGGTAACAGGGGACAGAGCAGTTGGGTACTCATGGCACACTTGCTATCAGAGCAATGGGAACAGTGCACAGAAATGCTTAACTGCAGCCCTTGGTCATGCTGACGTTGGCTTCACTGAAGCAAACAAGGTGAGCACAGCACTAACCAGGGCAACAGCAAGGGGGCATCTTCAATAAGATATAAAAATTAAATAAAGTAAGAAAAATCTAAAAATAAAGATTATGTTGAATGGGTTCATTCCTCAGTTTTTAATGCATTTAGGAAATCAGAAAATCTATATGCTTTCAGCAATTGTCTGTACTGACTTTTCTAACTTGGAAAAAGCATATTTCCAGCATTAGCCCTTCTTTCTGAATATGGCTGATGAGATACAATGGGTCCTAAACCATCTTTTATAAGTCTTAATATTATATTGGTGTACTGTGCTCTAAATTGCAGCTATATGTGCTAATTGAAAAGAATACATTACGTGGTTTTCAGCCTTTTAAATGGTCGTTGAGCCTGACCTCTGTTTGGAAACCATACTTTATACACCAAGTACCTTGTGCAACCAACAGCTGCCCTCGCTGTGGAATTGCAAGAAGTTCTTGTCTTTTCTGGACAAGCATAAGCACCGTCATTTTACATACCTCTAATGCCCACAAAACAAAACCACACCTGCACTGAATGAATATGATGAAATACTGGGAGAGAGATGTGAAAACAGAGCTCAGGAATGGTAGTTTCCTTTTGACAGCTACACAATTGCTGTCGACAAAGCCTTGAAAGCATGTCTGCAGAAAGCATTCGACGTAGAATAAAAGCTGCACCTAAGGCATTTGATAAATTCTTCCTGAGCAGTTCATTTGTGTGAAAACATAAGAGCTTATAATACTTTCAAGGACAATTAGGCTTAGAAACAAGGACAATTAGATAAGGACCTATTTACACAGAACATGCAGTTTGGACAAATTGTAAGATGCCTATTGCCTGCCTTAACTCATTTACACAATTTCATAACATCTTCCAAAGATCTCAGAGACAAACTGTACAATATTGCTCTCTCGAGCTGGTTACACACACTTCCAGAAAGATTATTTTGCACAGTCCACACATAAGCATTGTCCTCACACTTTTGAGGGACTCCACTGAAATGATGCGGCAAATCTGCATGTTTCTAGTGTTCAGGAAAATGTCCACATTTACCCAGGTAATTGACGACAAAAGTTTGATTTACTATATAACAGCAACTACCAAAGCCAGTTTACTTTTATTAATCATCCTCAAAAGCAGAGGAGGCTTAATGCTCAGTTAATGATCAATATATGTGGGATTTTTCTGCTAATTGTGCAAGACTAATTAGCAAATACTGACATCTCTGTGGTTTTTTATTACATAGCATATCAGACGTATGTTCTTAGTACTTCCTAAAAATAATTTAACTTTGTTCTTTTCCACCTAGGTAATTAAAAATATGGGCTCTTATCTCAGGAACTCAGTGCACAGCTTTCCAGCTGTGTTCCTCAGATTTCCAATTAACTCATCTTTCCTGAATTCTGTTCCTGCACGCTTTGATACACTTGCTTAACTTTCTGGAGTTATTTTGTTGATTGCAGTTGGACTTCTCTTGGTAAGAAGCCACACAGGTAAGTGGTGGCTGGACTAGATCCCTTTGCATAAAGGCAGATATCAAAGAGCAGATATGATTGTTTTCTCCTTTTCCCACACAGTTTAGATGCTTTCTACTAGATGACTACTTGGTCAACATCTTCAGATGCAGGAATCATACCTTAAATGTAGAGGTTAACATAAGTAAGATTAGTTAACCTCAAGTCTTCACTTGCTGGGGGAATATTTTGCACTGAATGCTTTTAAGAATACAGACTTGCTCAATAATATGAAACAGGTAATGATTCATTTATCAGCTACAAGACTGAAAAGACGAGTATAAAATCCACTTAGAGATCTACTTTGCATTGCTAGAAATTTTTACTTTTTAATCCTTCTGAAAAGGATTAGAAGATTTTTCTCTAGAAGGAAATCACTTTCAGTTTTATACAAATTTGAAAAATGGAAACAATTTTATGCAATTTCAGTGAAACTGCTAAGAGATGATTTTATAACACAGACATGGGTCCCATATCTAACTTCCACTATCTCTAATGGCAATATGACTGAAATGGAAATGTAACAAAGGCTACTACTGTTTTACTACTCTCCAGTTCTAATGAATTCAGAAACTTTTGGATTTGAAAAGCTCACCTATTGAATGAAAACACTTAAATCATCAGTTCCTACAGACTTTTTGATTCAAGTAGGAAAAAAGTTAAATCTATATTGGCTGAAGGCAGTCTTCCATGTGTGAGCTGACTACATCAGATCAGCACCATCTTCCTGAGCCTGCAGACAGCCCAGCCTAGGCCCTCTGTAGCTAATCAAGAGTTTTCATGAGAAGCAGCAGAGGAAAATTGATAAATGACTAATTAGTGTCACTGACACCATTCAGAACTAGTTGGGCAACTGTAAAACTGACAAGAATCATATCCACATCATTTTCCCTTTGGTTGCTTGAGAAAGCTCCTGGCAGGAATAGTGCCTTTGTAACAATGGCCCTGGGCTTCCTTCAGTCCTTCCTCTAATTTTCTTACAAGACATGGGGTAACAAATTGTTTCTTCTACATTCTGGAGTCTGGTGAAGCTTTTCAAGCTTTTAAAAATAATTAATAAATAGTAGTTAAACATGTCTGACATACATTTACTTCTCTTCTTAAAAGCTTGCTTTCTCCTATGAACAGCTAACAGAAATTGTCACACGGCTGTCCTTCGGGGCTCTGAGTGACAAGACAAGTTATTCACACTAAGAGAGGGAGTCCAGGATTTTACCTCCTGGGACAAAAGGATGCAGATACAACACTTTCAGAGATTGGAAACAGACACTGAATTGTTGCTGGCACTGACAGACTTGTGACTCTGACCAAGCTAATATTATCGCAGCCCGTGCTCTGTGTATGAGCTCAAATGGTAATTAGCAAGCAAGTAGTTCATCATCCTATGGTTGTGCCAAATATGGTGACAGATTAATATTATATCATTGCATGGTATGAGGTTCTATTTATAAAAAGGCTGACTCTTATACAGGAAACCAGTGCTGAGAAATTCCCACTGGCAGGACTCTTCTCTCATCTTCATTCTTTTCCTGACAACATACCCAATTTGCTTACATGTAGAGTATGATGATAGCAAGTTTCCTGACAAAAGAGTTGAAAAAAATGGAATGGGAATTACACTGACCAGCTATTTTCTTTCCATTCCCACACATGCAAGAGCCTCCAAGCCCTCATGGTTCCAAAAACTGAGAGGTTCATTATTTCCAGCTTTTTTACTAAATGGTATTTACAAAATCAGTGACCCATTAAACTCCAATAAATTGAACAGAGTTTTTGCCAGCCGCATTGCGGGAGTGAACTTCTAGGACAGAGCGAAATGAAAGGTGAAGACTCTGGCAGGGGACATTCATTAGGACTACAGTCTTTCAGGAGCTTCTACCTGGGAAAGAAAAAAAGGATAAGGGGAGGTGGCTGAAGATGCACGGTCAAATACAGTCCTGAGTGAACACAGAGGCTGCACATCCATGCAGCTGAGATCGATATGGCTGATATCAACTATACTAATGAGTGGGATAATAATTCTCTATGTTTACATTTATGATCTGTCTTGGAGTAAATGTGCAATTCTGAAGCAAATGCCCTGATCCTCTCCATTTACCATTTCCATTCACAAAAACAGTTCTGGGGCATGTAAAAGAGATTATTTTTGGAGGAGCTTAGAAGTTCCTTTCCAAAAGTTCTTCAATGCTGGATTGTGGACCTTAAAATTCTGACTCAATGTCTGGGCTTCATCACCATAAAATCTGTGCCTAGGAGAAGGCTCTTGAACCTTAACACCTCAAATGGTTCTTGTGCAATACAAAGAAGCTAATGCCATATAAGACTTCTTTTTTGCTGCTTTGTTTGAAGACTGCCAAATCCAGTCTTCAGCTTTGGAGAGGTTCTTCAGAGAGGTGCCAGCTGGCTCCCCAAGGAGATGACACAGCCTGTTAATTTGTGCCACAAGCAGACTAACAGTTCCTTTGGCAGCATCATATCTTAGTGGTGCTCATATAGGGTTGCTAACCACATGATTGCTGTTGGGTATGAGATGGCCAGTGAGAAAAGTGGCAGGAAATTCAAGATTCAGGGGCAGTGCTTTTGGAGAGCTGGAATGATAAAATCACGTCTGGACTTCCGTGCCTGGGCTTCCATGTGGGACAAGGGAAGTGCCCTGTGGAATTACTCAAGGACACTGATGTGCTACTTTCATCTAAGTGACATGGACAAAAGCAGACTTTCCTAGAAAGGCCCAAAGATGCTCCCCCCTCCAAGTGAAGGAGCAAAGGTTTGTGGGTTAATCTTCCCTCAGAAAGATTCAAACAACATGTATAATGGGGCCATTTGGTCTAGGAGACAAGGCTAGTTCTCACTTGAAGTAAAACCCTAGAACCCCTTATGATGAGGTTGTGAGAGGCTTCAGCAGTAACTGCTTTAATCTACTCACTCTTCTATTCTCCATCACCTTACTTCATAATGTAGACATGCCTGAACCTCTCCACAGGATTAAGAACATTTAGAGACAGTGCTAAGGGGGAGAAAAAAGAGAAGAATCTCCCACTGCATTCCTATAATAATATAAAAGACCTGACACAATTATAGTCATCTGACTTATTAGGGCACTGATTTTTGAAGCCAAATCTTGACAAGAATATAGATATACACGTCAAGAGATGTGTGCATTTCCCATGGTGATTTTAAGAAAAGGAAAAAAGAAGACCAAATATTCAGTGACTGGACAGCAAAGAGAAAGAAAATAATATTGTGGAAAGAGGTAGTGAGGTAGGTACGAGAGTCAGGGAGAGAAGACTCACCATAACCTGGCTGAGTTGACAGATAACTGAGATATTTTGGTGCCTGCTAGTTATGCTTAGAGAGTAAAATGGAAGAGTTTGATCAGCTGTTGCAAAATGTGAAGCTGGTTAACAGAAATATGGTTGACCAATAGCCATTCCCAAAGACAAGCACTAAAGAGCATGAGTTGTTCAGAAAGATGGAAACAACTGGGAAAGTGTTGTAATGTTATATATGAGGAATGTGTTAAGCTGTAGAAATGTAGAAAAGAATAGCAAAGATAATGTAATCTACTTCAGTTAAGATCACTTGGGGGAAGAACTGTAAGAGAAATTTTACTGCACTACAGGGGCCTGTTTCAGACTTCAAGTGTTGGATTCCTGTATAGATTGAGATTTCTTTGATATGATAGAAACAGAAATTCTGTGAGGGGTTGTATCATCATGGGAGCATTTAACTTCCAAGTTTTGATCATTAGCCACGATAATTAAACTTTGAGATTAATGCAGTTCTATGAATAATTTAGTTAGTACAACAACTATCTTAACTTGAGCATAAAGATAATGTAAGAGTACCATACATTTTTCTGAGTGTGTGGCAGGTGACTCACAAGGTGCATCCCAATGACTCCCTGTGAAAGATCACAACTTCTGGTATTCCAACCATGATTATATGCAATAGGTATTTATAGTGCCTTGTCC